TGAGAGCAGCTCGGAAGAGAGGGGTGGGGTCAGCAGAGCTCATTAACATTTAAAGGAAAATGCTACAAAAACGGCTTGATCTGAAAAGAGCTGTTTTTGACAGGGTAAAAAAGGTGTTTTTTACACTACCATTGAGAAATTTTAACCAAACTATGTTACAGACTTTTCATTAAGTCCCTAAAGAATCATATCAACTTGTGGAAAATGGGCATCCTATGACCCCTTTAAAGGCAGGGTAGGTGATTTGGATCAAAAACATTTGTTGGCTAGTGGATAAATGTATATGAGCATTATGATCATATAAATATGTCTCTTCTCAGAGCTCCCTCTACATAAAATATGTCCTCAATCGTAATGCAGTTTCCAGTGGATCAGTTTTAGTGAATTTTTACCAGACAGATCACCGAGGTTACTTTGGTCAACCAACTTAGTACCATATTCCAGTAATAATTTTGACCACCTTAAGCTGGTATCCGTCATTGTAGGGTTTACTTTCAGTGGATGGTCCCAGGAATGTCACAGTATAGCTTTAGAATCTTTTGAAAATATGTCTCTCAGAGGCCAAAAAAACCGAATGGTCACTTTTGTTAAATTCCGTATTGACAAAACTGAAATGAACGGGAATTTCAAGTCAAAATTAAAACACTTTTTGTGCAATCTGTTTTGAGAAAGCAGTATCTGATGTCCGTAGAGAGTGTGGAGGTTGAGAACATTTGTATAGGAGCCTTAACTTATTTTGAAAAGAATCTAAAAGACAAAGACATTCACATAATGAGGTGGCAGAAGAAGCCTTTGCTTTTGTCAGGCCTATCAGCCTTTGGATAGAAAAACAGCTTTTTTAAAATCATAATCATCAAGCGTAGAGTTAGTTCTGGCAGGTCACGTCAGTCAAGCTCACATCAGCTAACTCTCAGCTGATCCCCATCTACCTATGGGAATATGACACCTATCTAAGCATTCATATATAAGGTCCCTCAGTATTATCAGCAGTTTTCACATTGATCAATAGCTAATTACCCTCCTCCATCCCCAACTCCTCCTCTGTCAGTCAGGATTCAGCCTTCTGATTCTCCTTTGAATCAGACTAATTCTAAAATGTGTACATAAAATTATTGAATTTTAACGATATCTGCAATACATTTATGCTGGTTCTGTTCTGTTTACTCTGGGGGGTTATCGCTGCTCCCCCTAATCTCATCCATGCTAGGCTGCATGGTTGCACAGGGAGTTCTTGCCCAGAACAGAACCACACCGCCAATCCAAACTGTATGCTAATTGTCAATCATCTTTGACGATAGTGTTCCTGACAGAAATGTTGGGTTTGTATGAAATAGGATGCATTAGAGATATTGTGTTCTTTTTTCTTTACAGGCAATTTCATTCCTCACCCCGCTGGCTGTGATATTTGTGGTGAAGATTATACAGAGGACAGACAAGACCGAAATTAAAGAGGCTTGTTTAGGTGAGTGCCCAAACTGTGGTGGTCAGAAGATAGTCATTAACTAATAATATTGAAATCTTTACACAATGGATGTTTTTACAATTATTATAGAGGAATATGTGGTTTAAGATTATTGAAGATTATTCGCAGCAATCTGGAATGCTTGACACTTATTGGTCAATTGTGGCATACAACAGAATGATAACCACGTATCAGACCTCTCATCCAGGTAACTAAAACAGGCTAATTTCATTTCTCCCATATCACTGCAGACTCACTTTCTTTTGTGTTGTTACAAATGCAGCTGGTGCCATCTTGCATCTCAATTATTGATTATATTGAAAACGAAATTGGAGGGCTTCAGCATTAATATTACTCTAATATTCTGGTAGTGTTTGTGTTTTTGTGTCTTCAACCCTGCTCCTGGGGACCCACTGTTCTCCAGTGTTTAGCTCCAACCCTAATCAAACACACCTGAAGTACCTACACAAGCAGGTGTGTTGAAGCAGATTGAAAATAAACTTTGCAGGACAGTGGGTCCCCAGGAGCAGGGTAGAAGACCTCTGTTGTAATGGATTGTTTTTCATAGACAGAATGTTGTAAGATAATATACTGTACATGTACGTTTATATAACAGTTTTGGCCCTAATCAATATTTCACATAATTATGTATTTGTTGAGTAGCTGTGTAATACATGATCCTTTACTTACATTGATTATTTACTCATGTGGCAAGTAGCCTCTGCTTTGTGTTTGGGTCCTGATATTTTTGTTAGGTTGGGGTTACCTTTGTGACAACTGACTGCCTGTACATTATCTCTAACTTAGCATACCCATGGTGCATATACCAAACTCTGCTTCATTGACATGTCTTCAGTTATATCTTATTTTTGTGTCAGTGAATATTAGATTAATGTGCTCTTTTATAATAATCACAATGTTTACAACATTGACATGACAATAGTCATAAGTAATACACTTTAAATCTGTTTGTTTGATCCATGTTCCACATTGTAATCACTGTACTTTATTGTATGTATATATATATATTGTAACAAATTAGTCCACTGAAGGCGAGCGTAAGTGAGAACCCAAGTGCAGTTTATTTACAGTGTGATCCAAACATCCAAACAATAATCCGTGACTTGACTTGACTAGGCCTGAACAGACTTGACGAGGCATGAACAGACTAGACTCACCGACAGCGGGTTACAACATCAATACACGACAAGGGCACAATGGGAACATGATGGCTAGTTATAGCAGACAAGGAGGGTCACATGACATGAACAAACCAATGGGAAACAAGACACATGACTAGGACAACCAATCAGAACATGACACAATGAACAGAGGAACCAATGGCATGAATACATGAGGGCAAGGGACACATGACTAAGACAACCAATCAGAACATGACACAATGAACAGAGGAACCAATGGCATGAATACATGAGGGCAAGGGAAGCATGACACAAACAGCATGAAATAATTACAAAATAAAAGACATGAAAATGAAACAAAACCCAAACACCACATTACATATCCCCCCCTCTAAAGGGCAACTCCAGACGCCCAAACAAAATCCAAAAAGTCCAGGAGGGTGGTGGAGTGGAGGAGGAACTGGGGGAGGGACGGAGGACACATTGTAAAGATGTGTCATTACTGCTCTAAACAAAACCTCAAAACCCAAAAAGTTCAGGAGGGTGGTGGAGTGGAGGCGGAACTGGGGGAGGGATGGAGGGCCAGGCCCGTGAAGAGGAACAGGCAGAGTGGGGAGCCATGGCGGAGCAGGCAGAGCGGGGAGCCATGGCGGTGCAGGCTGATCAGGGAGCCATGGCGGTGCAGGCAGAGCAGGGCGGCCGGGTAATGACGGCAGAGCAGGAAGCCATGGGTTCTGCAGCGGAAGCTACCACTTCTGGAGGCACTGGATTGGATTTGTGGACAGGCGAGGCCTTTGGAGAAGACTCGTGGAGAGGCCTCTGGAGCGCAGTGTGCAGCCCACACGCTCAAAATGGCGACCGCCATTACAGGAAGGGCAGCAGAGTGCAGGGACTCAGGCGTGGTGGCCATCTTGTCCGGGGACTCAGGCGTGGCGGCCATCTTGGCTGGGGACTCAGGCGTTGCGGCCATCTTGGCCGGGGACTCAGGCTTAACTTGAGCAGACTCTGAAATGGCGGCCATGTCGTGACGAGACTCTAGAAGGGCGGCCATTTTGTGTAGAGACTCTTGTGTGGCGGCCATCTTGCAATGAAGCTCTTGAATGGCGGCCATATTGTGAAGAATCTCCTGAGTGTGATGATGATGTATGATGTGAACAGGCTCTGGCTTGGCAGACGTGCCGTGAAGAGGACTTGGAGTAGCAGACATGATGGAAGCAGGCTCTGGTTTGGCAGATGTGACGTGAGCAGGGTGCAGCCCACATGCTCAAAATGGCGACCGCCATTACAGGAAGGGCAGCAGAGTGTGGCAGGACCTCTAAGATGGCGGGGTTTGTAAACGCTGACGTCACCGGGATGCCTCCAGCTCTCACCGACATCAGTGGTAAGTCCATCATGCTAGCTATCAGTCTTTTCAGTCTTGGCCCAAGCTCCGCGTCCGACTCAGGCGTGGCGGCCATCTTGGCTGGGGACTCAGGCGTGGTGGCCATCTCTATTATATATATAATAAAGTACAGTGATTACAGTGTGGAACATGGAGTAAACAAACAGATCATTAGGGATCATCAGCCTCCAGAACAAAAATAAATGCACAGGCAAGTGCCCGCTAGTAAAGGGAAAGAGATTATCAGTTTACGTGCGCTGCCGCTTCGTTTGATCTGAGGTGTCTACTGACTATCACGCCACGTTAAAGAGCGCCAAAGCAGTATTTATTGCTTGCATTTCCTAACAAAATGGACAGAATTTGATATCTGAGACTTTGTTTCATATCAAAAGTAACAAAGCACAACGCTTAGCTCATTGCGATTTACTGGATGGGAGGCGCACTATATGTATTGTTCATTCATCAACTGAAAACAGCATCGATTGGGATTTAAGAAAAGATATTGGTTCATAAAAATAAGAATCTATTAAAATTGAGAAATCGTTTTTTGTTTTACCCAGCCCTAGCATATTTTGTTGTAGTGCCTCCGCTAGCGGGGTGTGGTGTTGAACATGAAAAGTGACAGTCTCTGTTCATCTGTTCTCTTCATAAATAAATAAATGCATAAGCATATATGCTCGTCCTGTAGGTTCATTAATAAAAAATGAAAATGTGAAAAAAAATAAAAACAACACTTTTAAGCTTAATGCTTTCTATTCTGTAATTCAGGAAACAAATCACATCATGCTTTTTTTATCATTCCAAAAATTCCCACAGAATCTCAAATGCTACATGGTCTCACTCACTTATTCCCTTGCTTTGCATGCTGAAGTGATTCCTCAAAACAATATTTATGATGTCTGTTGAATCAACCATTTGTCTCCACATTCATTTAACATTCTGCAGAAAGTATACAAAAATCAACTATGGGCATGTACACATTAACATTAGTTAATGTGCAGCCTGGGTTTTTTATTTGTTATGTGTAGGGCCAACACACTCACATTAGGGATTTTTGAAAGAACTTTTCTGCTCTACAGAATTTTATTTATATGGTCCAACTTATATTTACATGGTCCAAACATTTCACTCTAGTACCATTATATTTGCCCTAAAGTGAAAAGTCCTTTAAACTTGCATTAATTCTCAAAACTACTCTGTAGTTTTAAATAACAATTTTTTTTTTTTTTAAAGCCTCATTTAAGTAGTCCATATCATGAAAACATGGGCATAGCTGGACATTTGAGCCAGTCAATTTGGTCAGTCACACAAGGCCTAGCTCACAGTTTCTGTTCCAGTTAATCCCAAAGGTGATCGATGTGGCTGAGGTCAGGGACAGTCAAATTGTGCCACACTAAATTCATCCAGCCATGTCTTTATGGACCTTGCTTTGTGCATTGTGGTATAGTCATGCTGGAATAGAAAAGGTCCTTTCCCAAACTGTTCTCACAACGTTGGAAGCATAGCATTGTCCAAAATGGCTTGGTGCGCTGAAGCATTAAGTGCTTTGTTGTAAAAATAAATTTTTTGTTGAATATCCATTTGTGCCACACAACAAGCAAGCAGCATAGACTAGGGATGCACCGGTATCGGGCCTGATACCGGTCTCCTGTACTCGTACTCGTTAAAATGCCCCGATACCAAACGCCGATACCATACAGCATGTGATAAGCGCCATATTCAAACAAAGAAACACCAACAACAGAACAACAGACAGCAGAAAGGAGTTAAGGATGTCTACTACAAAGTATATGTATGCAATGAATATAACATTAAACATTCAGTATTAACGCCTGTATAGCTGATGTGCGCGAGCTGATAAAGCAGGCTGAGTGGATTGAGCGCGCGGCGGCGCAGATGCGCGAGCTTGTCGAGTGAATATATCTTTCTCACAGACATCACTGGAAAGCTTGTAGTTCGGTCGGATATGTCAAAAACAAGTAAGTAAAACAATGCACAAGTTACTTAACATTAGGGAGAGAGAAAGAGAGAGAGAGAGAGCGCGCACGCAATTCTGTCGTGTGATCTTTGATGTTCACTCACTTAGCACGCAATAAAAATATCGGTATCGGGCGAGTACTGGAAAAAGTGGTATCGGTGCATCCCTAGCATAGACTATTATCTGCCAAAATGCAGATTTGTTGTGCAACAACCTCTTATCCAAATGAGACTGGGGGATGCATTGCATGTCACAACATGCAAACTATTTTGAAGTGTATTGTCTGTTACCATTGATCGCAGTATTCACTGTGTTTAGTTCCTGTTTGCTTTTGTTTCTATAGTTACCTTTATACCCTTATTTGTTGTCATAGTGATTGATTTCCCTCACCTGTTCTTAGTTAGCCTTTCTTATACTGTAGGTGTGTTCGACTTGAAGCAGCAATTCACAAACCAGTCGGTGTATAACATCAAAGTACTGCGATTCGAACACATGAAGA